TTGGTACAGTGTTACTAGCTTGTCTAGAGACTTTACTCAGATTTTTTTTTGATTGTCCCAATAATATTTTCATTGGGAAAAGAAAATATCAGATCATAAGTTACATTTATTTGTTATTTCTCTTGTATTTCTGTTCAACTGAAACAAATCCTTAGTCTGTCTTTGTCGTTCATGACCTTGACTTGTTCCCTGTTTCTGGCTAGTGTATGTGCACACATGTGAGAGAGGACGCACGTCGTAATGGGGCTGGTCACATCACAGGCCTTTTTTCATCCCTTCAGGATCCTGGGCATGCAAGTACTTGTGTTTTTTAAACTTCCAGGGCTGAGATTTGAACTGCTGTCGGACATGTGGGATCTGGTTCCCTCTTAACTGCCGCACTATGGGACCAGCCCAACTTCAACATTTTTTGTTAAGTAATTTTATAGAATGTCCTTTTTGGGGAGATAGTCTGACATTTTTTATGAGTAGATTCAGGTTTTGTATTTGGGGCAAGACTTCATCAGAAGTCACATGTTCAGAAGTCATGACGTGTTCTTGGTACATCATGTCAAGAGACACATAATGTTGGGGTTTCTATCAGATTTCTCCATGGTGAGGTGACTATTTTCCACTTTGTATCTTTTAAATATTTTTTTGGAGAAATACTTTGAGATTACTAACCATCCTGCTTTACGTCAGACTTTCACCCACTAATTTTAGCATCCATTGATGATTTTTGCCAAACCAGCTACTTATCCTTAAGCAGAACTTACTGGACCTAGTCTAGCTTGGTGTCCCAGGTCACTTATGCACGTTGCTTATTGAGATTCCTCATAGCTAAAGAAACAAGGGATAACTGTGTTGCTGAGCTCTCCTGGGTGATGTTAGAGAGGCTCTGAGGACCTTCGAGGCAACCACTTAGGTACACGTGGCCATTTCATCTTTCCTTGCTACCTTCACAGCTGTAGAGCTGTCTGTCTCCATTCTGCACCTCATTTTCACCACTAAGAGGGTACCGCCTCCTTGCTGCTAAGATCATGACTCTTAATGTCCCTACCTCTATTTTATGCAAGAGCAGAGTTGGATTTTTTTGCTTTGCACTGATTTCTCATATGTTGGTTGGTCTGGAGTAAACGTTTTGAGTTAATCTGTTTACAAAGGTCTAGCTATAACAGTGTTTATAGGGGCTTTTTCCCCCTTTTTCATGTTCATTAAGTTATTATTTTTAATACTACCTATATACCCTTTGTCCTGATGGAATAGAGAGGGCTAGAAGCTCCTCAGAAGCTCTGTGGCCTACTCTCAGGGGGTAATTACCCCTAGCTCCATTCACCTTTTCACTCCTTAGATATTCTCCTAGTACAGACCCAGTCAGAGTCAGAAAATTGAGGGTCAGGAGGAAGACAGTTGTCCACATGGGCTACTCATCCTATTAGGTTCAGATCACTTTTCTCTTTCTCTTTTTCTTTTCTTTTTTTTTTTTTTTTTTGGTATAGATGGGTTTACCACCAACTGTATTTCAGCTCAAGCACCTATAGGGTAAATGTGATTTGTAATATATTCAGTACAATAAACTTCCACCAAAAAGTAATTAGGCTTCCAAATTATATAATGACATTTCAACAAAACATAGTTAACTTTGCAGTATATGGTTTTACATTGAATTAAATAGGTTTAGATTATCTGATGTGGTTCATTTTATTTCAAGGAAGGTAGAACTTCATGACCTGGGGAATAGTTGCTAGCAAATTATAAGTTTATAATTGAATATTGGCTTGTTTATTTACTTTTTTTTTTTTTAGAGAGAGAGATTTTTGCTAGAGGAAACATGCACTACTGGAGAGACAGAGAGATGGAGAGACAGAAAGCAAGAAGTCACCATCTCGGGGGAGAGCCACACCACAGTCTCTTCTCCTTCATTCTCCTCTCAGGATCTTGGGCATGCATGCACACATGCCTGACGTGACTTTCAAGCCACTGGGTCCGGGACTCAAACCACGATCGGCCATGTGGGAGTCCAGCAGTATACCATTATGCCATCTCCTGGTCCCCTGGCTTGTTTTTATTATGTAAGACATTTAGTCTGGACACTTAAAACATTGATCTCTTCTTTTTTTAAAGAAAGTATATGGGCCAGCCGCTTTCCACATGGGCTACTCATCCTATTAGGTTCAGATCACTTTTCTCTTTCTCTTTTTCTTTTCTTTTTTTTTTTTTTTTTTTGGTATAGATGGGTTTACCACCAACTGTATTTCAGCTCAAGCACCTATAGGGTAAATGTGATTTGTAATATATTCAGTACAATAAACTTCCACCAAAAAGTAATTAGGCTTCCAAATTATATAATGACATTTCAACAAAACATAGTTAACTTTGCAGTATATGGTTTTACATTGAATTAAATAGGTTTAGATTATCTGATGTGGTTCATTTTATTTCAAGGAAGGTAGAACTTCATGACCTGGGGAATAGTTGCTAGCAAATTATAAGTTTATAATTGAATATTGGCTTGTTTATTTACTTTTTTTTTTTTTAGAGAGAGAGATTTTTGCTAGAGGAAACATGCACTACTGGAGAGACAGAGAGATGGAGAGACAGAAAGCAAGAAGTCACCATCTCGGGGGAGAGCCACACCACAGTCTCTTCTCCTTCATTCTCCTCTCAGGATCTTGGGCATGCATGCACACATGCCTGACGTGACTTTCAAGCCACTGGGTCCGGGACTCAAACCACGATCGGCCATGTGGGAGTCCAGCAGTATACCATTATGCCATCTCCTGGTCCCCTGGCTTGTTTTTATTATGTAAGACATTTAGTCTGGACACTTAAAACATTGATCTCTTCTTTTTTTAAAGAAAGTATATGGGCCAGCCGCTTAGTGTGGTGTTTAAGGTAGCCGGATTCCACAGGGCTGCATGGCAGCTTGAAAAAACATTCTGGGCACATGTATGTCCATTCCTAAAATCCCAGGTGAGAATGGAACAGTAGGGATTGCTGTGTGGTCAACCTCTCTGAGAGGTGCTTTTTTACTTTGTCTGTCTCTCTCCAGTAAATAAGCAAGCCAGTATTCAATTATGTTATTAATTTGCCCTATAGCAAACTAAAAATAGAGAAAAATGTTTATGGTTTAAAGTTGACCTTTTCCCTTCTTTGCTTGATTATTTTTATCATACACTGCTAGCTTCCTCATTCATTATGTGTAATAGTCATTCCCTCAACTATATCCATCCTCCATTTTTGGGTAGTCTCGACTCCTTTTTTTCCCCCCAAAATGGGGAAGAAAAGAAACCAGAACTTTGAATTTCTTGAGTTTCTGTCTCTTTGCTTGTAATACACGTGGTTTTTCTTCTTTGTCTCAATTTTAGAAACCTTTGCCATAAAGCAATGATTACAAATATAAAATAGCAAGTTAAACCTCATAAGAGATTTCTGCCCAGAAGGAACACTGGAGTACTGGTCTGTCAAGCCAGCTCGCTGTGACGTGCGAAATACACAAATGTTAGCCACAGAGGTTTTCAGAAGGGTCTTTGAATGACTGTACGTTATTTATCCTTCAGTATCTATTATTATTATTAGCATTTGCTATAGGGTATGTGTGCTCACCAGAAAGAGGGAGGAAAGGGAGAAATCACTCCCGGGGCGGTGGGAGCTGGCGGCATCTTACTCCTCCTTTCGTCTCCTCTCAGAATTTGGGGCATGTGCACCCACACGCCTGTTGTGATTTTTTTCAAAGTTGCAGCATTCAGGACTCAAACCATGGAGTTGACCAGCTCACTTAACTACTGTGCCACCTGGCTGGTCCGGCCCCTCAGTATCTTTTAAAGTTTAACATGTAAAATATATGTTACAAACCAAAAAAAAAGTAACTTTATATATAGATTTAAAACACAGTACTAATTGTATAATAGTTACATACTGGTATGAGGAATTTTAGATAAATTTGTGCTAGAAATAATTTGTGGATCTAAAAATAAAATAACTCCTCAGTTGGAATGTGCTGATATATATGTAATGTAATCAGTATTTCAAGTGTAAATTTTAAAATACTAATTTAATTTTGCAAATGTAGTTCTGAAAAATATAACCTAAATAATATGTCATTTGAGTTTTCTTCAGATGATGATTTATGTATGCTGACTAGCAGATTTTTAGCACCACTGAACTCATTTTCAATTGTATTGTTGTCTCCCTTGCTCCCCAATCTAAGTACTATATAAATCCCCATTGACATTTTAGGGTCTGAGAGCTACTCTTTGAGGTGAGAGTGACAACAAATGGACTCCAGTCCTAAACTGTTAATTAAATACTATTGTTGGGCCAACAGGTGGTGTGGTGGTTAACGTGCTGGACACTCACTCCCACGTGGCTGACCACGGTTCAAGTCCCAGACTCGGTGGCTTGCTTTCTCACTTTCCTTCTCTCTGTGTGTCTGTGTTTCTCTGGTCAAATTAAAATAAATGAATGAATAAATAAAATTAAATAAATCATTTTTAAAATACTATTATTTTGTGCTAAGTATTATGCTACTTTTATTGAAGAAAGGAAAACCAGATCTGAGGAGAAGGAGCAAGGACTGTCTTTTAGGACCCAGACTTGGGGATCTGTACCAACCAAACGTTGCCTATTGTTGAAAACTAATTACCTGAAAGAGTGGGTAATAAGTGTAGTTTAAGCTGCCATCAGCCAAGTATGGACTGGAATTTTCTTGTGTCTATTAAATAAACTAGACCTGTGTCAGAGAAAAATAAATTAAACTTCTAATTAATATTATCGCTTATTCAGTGCTTACATATTGATGGAGTACTTTTACCCATATCTGACATATATTTATTTATATACATGGGCATATGTTTTCCTTTACATATGTGTATGTCTGTATGTATATAAATCTTCAGATGAATAAGTGCATAAATATACATGCTGTTCTAGCTTACAGAATTAGAAATGTAATTCATTTTACTCCCACAAACAAGATTGAAAATAATGAGAACTGAATTAAAGCTTACTTTCTTTCGCAGAATTCCTCAGAGAGAGAAGACTGTAATAATGGCGAACCCCCTAGGAAGATAATACCAGAGAAGAATTCACTTAGACAGGTATGAAATTCAGTCTTACTTAAATAAAAAGCTACCAACAACAAAATACAAGACTGGAGACCCTTGATTTGTCATTCTTTAAACACTAAATCTTAAATTAAGAGCTCTGAAGTTGGTCTGGCCATAGCCATCAATTTCAATCAGGCCACATTGTTCATCCAATCATTTCAAAAGCATCCTAGGTGTAAAGTACAGGACAGTCAGCTGACAACATGTAGTGGAAACAAAATCAAAGAAAACATTTCTGTTTCAGGAAAAGTAAATGCTTCTGAAGTGCAGATGGTAGAATAGTTGACTCTGAACTGTATTTTCCTATTAAGAGTCTTTATAGGGAACCAGCAGTTAACGTAATGGCTATGTCGCTGGACTCCCATGTAGTCGACCGCGGTTTGCATCCCAGACCCGGTGGCTTGGAACTCACGCTGGGCGTGTGTGCGTGCATGCCCAAGATCCTGAGAGGAGAATGGAGGAGAAGGGATTGCGGCGTGACCATCCCCCCTGTGGGGTGATTTCTCGCTTTCTGTCTCTATGTCTCTCTCTGTCTGTCTGGCGAGCGCACGCGCCCTATAGCAAAAAACCTCTCAAAAAAAAAAAAAAAAGAGTCTTTATACATTTAAAATTTAAAAATTAGCAAAAACAGTTCTTCCTTTAATGAAGTATAAGCGCCTTTTAGTCTGAGGAATATTTTTCTTTTTCTAGAAGGCCTATAATTGATGATAAGTTAATTTTTTTTTCTCACTGCTATGCCCACATCTCGAAGAGGTAACCTGTCTTACTTGTGGAAATTCAGTCCCATGGTGCTCTCTTTTTAAGAATTAAAATGTCTAGGTACCAGCAGACTTAATGGTTATGTTGCTGGACTCCCACATGGCCGATTGTGGTTCAAGTCCTGGACCTGGCAGCATAAAACTCAGCTGGGCGGTGAGTTTGGGCATGCATACCCAAAATCCTCAGAGGGGAAGGGATTACAGTGTGGCCAATTGCTCTGAGGAGTGATTTCTCACTTTCTGTCTCTGTCTCTCTGATGAGTGCATGCACCCTACAGTAAAAATCTCTCTTAGAAAAAAGAAAGAAAAGAAAAGAATTAAAATGTCCAAAAAATGCTGACTGAAAATTTGTTCTTCTCGCTGTCTGTAGTAACCTCTAACATTTTCCTTGCTCATTGACAACTAAAACAAGTTCTTATGGTGTTGCCATAGAATAAGTATGCCATCTATTCATATTAAACATCAAACTGATAAGATGAACACCAGCAGCAGTAAGAATTATTTTAATTTACTTGCATTTATGACATTGTTCTAGAAAATAGGAGACAGGATCTAATACTTGTTGAACACCATCCATGAACATGGTACTTATTTAATCCTCACAATAACCCAGGAAAATTATTATGTATGATGTGATTTTCAATTTACAGATTTAAAAAAATGGAGGCCTGGAGAAGTTAGATGACTTATCTGCTAATCAGTGATTTGAAAATCAGATCTCAGTGCTGCCAAAATGTTTCTGACTCCAGTTGGATACAATATTAATTCAGAGAGAAACTACTTGAAATAATGGTACACCATGTCTTTATGTACTATGTTTAAAATATTTTTGGATGGGTACTTTCTCCTTTTTTATAAAATTACTTAGTAAATAGAATCAATTCAGGAAGCGCTGTTAAAAAAAACCAAAAGCCTAAGGATCAGTAATTGATGTTGAGACAGTTACAGATTTAACTGTGTGGAGATTCAGCACCTGATCTGTAAATCTAAGTCAATAGAACAATATTGAATAAGAGAACTTTGGAGGTGGAAACACTCTGCCCACTATATAGAAACAACCGTCAGAAAACAGTGACGCGACAAAAAGTTTTGGCAACTTTATTTAAGCTAACAAACGAATTTTCACTCTGCAAAGTTATAAATTAATTTTAATAGGCTGATCCAGATGGTCCATTTGGAAAATGGATAGGCTGATCTGTTGAAAATTAAACTAAATTTATCTCTCTCATACTTCAAACTGAAGCAAGAGAGAGAATCGTGCCTATTAAGTCCAGCACATACAGATGGACCAGCAGGTCACACATGGGACTAATCTGATTCATTTTAAAAATAAATGCATACATTATTGAATCATTTTCTACTTGCAAGATCTGTTGTGTGCAGTATTTGAATGAGGTTTAATGTTTTCTTTTTCACTGCTGTTTTAGCAGGTTCTTATCACCCCCCCACACACTTTAATTTCCTCCCCCCACTCACCCTTAGTGCGCCAAAATGATTTTTCTAATATCTGTCATTCAGTGTTGAGATCCAAGCTCTGGAGATTAATTAGGTCATGAGGCTTCCCCCCTCCCTTCATTGTAAAGGTTTTTATCTCCATTCTCTTTGTGAAGAGCATGAACTCAATGTTCTTGGAAAGAGAAATGGCCTTTAGAAACAGTAAAGTAGGAGATCCTCCTGGGGCCTTCAGAGTCTTTTAGCTTCTGGGTGTTTTAACAGCCCCATGAATGCAGATTTGTAAATTTATTGCAGTGCCATCTGTTTTTTTGCTCGAACCAGATTACTGTTGGCTTGTGTCTGTCTATTGTGGTGGTCACTCCCCGGGAGCTTGCCCTCTCAATCTTGGGGAACAGTGATGAATAGCAGGGGTCAATAGAAGCGGGTCACAGGGCAGCTGTCCAGCACTGCCCTGAACTTGATTACCCCACTGCTGATTTTTTAAAAGTAGGAGTAATATCTAAGCTGTTTAAACTCCCCCTTCTCTCTATTGCGTATGACAATAATGAAGTGCCAATGGCTGTTTTGTGTTGTTTTTCTCACATAGTCAAGTTCTGTAGACAAAAAGATGTCAAGACCACCCTATTCTGCCTATTGACATAAGTAGAATTTGTCTCATGTGGGACAATCCCTATAAGGTTGAGATGCTTTTGCAGATATTTCTAATGGGAATCTCGGGAGCTCTTTCATCGCTGATAATAAAAGTTGTTATGTTCTAACAATTTAGCATTTTTAAAAACGAACTTTATACTTTACCAATAATGTGGGAAAGTTTACCATTCTACATAGGACAGGACCACATGTTAATTTGGAAAGCTGCTGAAGTGTAGGAGGAGCTAAAATTAACATTTTTTAAAAAAGGAATATTACAAATAACTTTATGCCAAAAATTCGACAACTTAGATGAAAGGAACAAATTCCTTCAAAAATACAGCATACCAAAACAAATACAAGGCGAAACAAAACGTGTGTCTATTAAAGAAATTCAGTTAATTTTCAGGAGGCCTGTATGTTTTCACTGGTAATTCAGTAAACATTTAAGGAAGAAATCCTACTAGTCTTACAGATTCTTTCAGAAAATAGAAGAAAGAATACTTTGTTGTATAGGCTTGTAGTATTAGGCCACCATTGCATTAATTCCAGAACCTGAAAAGACGGGACTAGAAAAAGAAATACTGAAGGAGAAAGTTGGGAGACACTGCTTGGTGTCATCGGCTCTTTTCTTTTCTATCCCTGTTCTCCCAGCATGGGAAAGAGGGAGGGTCAGGGAGTAGGGAAGTTAAACAGTGTACCCTTGGAAAGTAAATTCTGCTACTTTCAGAGTAATCTCCTCATCTCTTGGCATTTAATAAAGAATGAGCTTGTATTTTAAGGTCATGAAAAGTAGCTACAGTTTTCTTTCTGCTTTTACTTCTAACATAGGAAGCCGAAGCCAAGGACAGTAGCCACGGTTCCCACAGCATGTATTTGGATCTGCAATAGAGGGCAAAGGCCTGGGGAGACAGGAAAGTGCCCATTACTTTTTGAAAATGTAGCATTACAACATGCAACTCTTCTTTGCTTCACATTGGTGCTAATAGGATCTGTCAGCCCTGCCTTTTCTCTGTAATTGAGTAAATTGTGACCGCTGTCTAATCCTGCTCCCATCCCCCTTCCCTTTGTGTGTGTGTCCACTTACCGTCCTGAGAACGTGGGCAGTGATAAATAAAGCATTGAGTAGAGCGCTCTCAACTCTTTGAAAGCAGCATGATGCCAGCCCTCTAGTTATATTTCTTTAAGTGTTTACGTTTTTCTGTATTCTTTCTCTTGTGTAGCTGGAACCCTGGGGATGCAAAGCCATGAGAGAGGCCAAGAAGCTAACAAAGTAGCTGTCTCCCTTGTTAGCTTGTTCCTTTATTCTTTAAAAACAAGATAAAAACCATCTGGCTCAGGGCATTACATTTTCCTCCCCCATGCACCTCTATAGATGGAGACTTCACCTGCAGTGAGGGTTTACATTGATTAGGGAGGGAGCAGTAATTCAAGCTTCCATCCTCTCCAAGGATACTTTGCAGTCTTTAAAGGTGCTGACCCACTGAGTTAAACTGTCAGGGGAGGATAAAAAAGTAGCTTCATCCCAGGAGGTAACAGCTGCCAGGTTTTCAACACCTTGCACGCTGCTGGAAAAATGTCACAATTGTCAGCTGAAAGAAAAATGACTGTGTTGTCATCTTCCGTTAATGACTGGACCTTATAAAAGGAACTACGTAAGGCTTTTGGAAGGAATAAGTAGCTTTTTTTTTTTTTTGCCTATCCTTCCCCCACTTCCCTGCCTTCCTAATGCCATTATGTACGTGGGCATGGAGTAGATTCACACACTCAAAAAACAAACAAAAAAACAGTGAAGACTTTAAAAGGAAGACAGCTAGTGTAAACATGGAAGTCTGTGGGCATAGCTCCTTTATACAGTTGGCTGAGTAGGAGGAAAAGCACATCAGTGACACAAAATGACATTATACTGTGTATTAACAAAACAACAACAACAACAAAAAGTCATTCATAAGCCAGTGAACTGAGAGAAAACATACTGTATTTCTGTTCTTTGGAGGACAATTTGTTTTCAGACAGCATCCAGATGGGTAAATACCACGGCATTTCCTTTTTCATTTTCCTTTTTCAAGAGAACAGCTTCTTTTCTTCCTTTAAACACACACACACACACACACACACACACACACACACACACACACACACACACAC